TCACCTCGCACACCACTCCGGCACCTCGGCTCCAGGCTGTGAAACCGTATTTGACAGATGCGTACTCTGAGGCAGCACGCCTGACTAGTTTGGGTCTGACAGATGGAATTCACGCCATAACGGACACCAGCCACCGCCATCTCAGTTGTGGCAGAGACGGCCCTGACAAAGAGGACAATGGCGGTTATGCCTGCCCCCCACATAGTCTTCTTTACCCTTCACCACGAAACCTTCTAGTTGCTCCATGTAAATTTCCTCCTCCAAATCACCGTGAAGGAAAGCAGTTTTTACATCCATTTGCTCAACCTCTAAATCAAGACTGGCTGCCAAACCAAGAACAACTCAGATAGAAGACATTTTGACAACAGGCGAGAAAATCTCCTCAAAGTCAATTCCCTTTTTCTGACGGTAACTTTTGACAACTAATCTAGCTTTGTATCGTGGATTATAAGTATTCTTCTCAGTCTTTAACCTGTAAACCCATCGATTCTGCAAAGCTTTCCTGTCCTTAGGAAACTTGACCAACTCAAAAGTATGGTTGTCAACCAAAGATTTCATCTCATCATTCATAGCGACAATCCATTCTTTCTTGTGCTCAGACTCCATAGCCTCTTTGTAGCATTCAGGTTCTCCCCCATCAGTGAGAAGCACATATTCATTAAACGAATAGCGAGTAGAGGGAATATGTTGTTTAGAAGACCTTCTAAGTGGGGCAACAAGTTCACCAATAGCACCACTGGCAGAAGCATCAAGATCATCAGCAACATCATCATCATTATCCTCAACCAAATCATCATAAATATGATTCTGGCCATCATCACGATTACCGAATTCAGCTACCCTGGGCATATATGTCTCAGGAACTGGGTTAAGATCAACCAACCCATCAGTACTCGAAGACTCTAATTTCTCTGCCTTATCAATATCCTCAATTGTCTGATCCTCCATAAAAATTACATCACGACTTCTTACAAGCTTCTTTTCAATTGGATCGTACAATCTATGGCCAAATTCATCACGACCATAGCCAATGAAGATACACTATCTTGTCTTGACATCTAACTTGGACCTTTCATCTTTTGGCACATGCACAAATGCTTTACAGTCAAAGACACGTAAGTGATCATAGGACACATCTTTTCCGTACTACATCCTGTCAGGAACATCAGCTTGCAAAGCAACAACAGAGATAAATTAATAACATGTGCAACAGTATATAAAGCCTCACCCCAAAAAGATCCAGACAACTTTGCTTCTAAAAGCAAACATCTAACTCTCTCCATCAATGTCCTGTTCATCCTCTCTGCCAGGCCATTAAGCTTAGGAGTCTTAGGGGGCGTCTTCTGGTGTCTAATACCTTGCTGTCTGCAGTACTCATCAAACGGTCCACAGTATTCACCACCATTATCAGTGCGAATACATTTCAGTTTCTTCCATGTTTCCCTATCAATAGAAGTCTGAAACTACTTAAAGACACTAAGTACCCGGTCTTTACTCTTCAAGACATAAACCCAAAGCTTCCTTGAATGATCATCAATAAAAGTAACAAAATAAAGTGCACCACCAAACGTTTTTGTTTTCATCGGACCACAGATATCTGAATGCACCAACTCAAGCAACTCTGATTTCTAGAGGGAGGATAGCTCTTGAAAGAGACTCTATTTTGTTTCCCAGACAAGCAATGAGCACACTTTTCTAACCTTGCACCTTTCAAACCTGAAAGTAGATTCTTCCTAGCCAAACAATCAAGTCCTTTCTCACTGATGTGGCTAAATCTCTTTTGCCATAACACTAACAAGTTATCACACTCAACTGCATTCACACCATCAATGGAAACTGAAGTCTTGGTCCAGTACAAACCATAACACTTCTTTCCATGTGCCACAACCAAATAACCTTTAGAGAGTTTCCACTGTCCATTACCAAATGTACTAACATAACCATCACCATCAAGAACACTGGTAGAAATTAGATGCAAACGAATGTCTGGTGCATGTCTGACATTTTTCAAAATCAATTCAGTCTCATTATTTGTTTCCAGACAAATAGTGCCAATGCCAATCACTTTTGACAAACCATTATTACCCATACTTTAAAACCCCATAATCACCTGGAGTATAAGATGTGAAAAAATCATTTCTCGATGTAACATGAAAACATACACCACTGTTAACAACCCAACTTGTCTCATTACAAGCAACATTAATCAAATTCTCATCACAGACAATCACAAGATCACCTGCAGTGGTGGTGGCAACACGATCATCATTGTCATTATCTTTATTTTGCTGCTTACCTTTGTTACCTTTATTGTCATTCTTCAGCTGAAAACAAAATCTTTTGATATGTCCCTTTTTACCACAATAGTTGCATTTAAGGTTTTGTACTTAGACCTTGATTTGCTTCTAGCCTTACTTTTACCTCTGCTATCTTGTCATTGGTCTCTATCATTGCTTCTCCCCCTGTTTTCAGTAATCAAAACCTCTGAATGAGAAGAGGATGTCTGCTGAGTTCGTCGTCTGACTTCTTCATTCAAAACAATAGTTTTTACATATTCCAAGGTCATTACACCACCAGGAGTAAAACTAGACAAAGTCATGTGCAAATTTTCCCAAGAGTCAAGTAGAATATTAAGCAACCAAAGTCCCAACATTTCACCTTCAAATTTAATACCCATGTCGGACAATTGATCAAAGCACTCTGAAATTCACTTATGTGATCAAAAATAGGAGTACCTTCCTTGTACCTCAAATTCATAGCTTGTTTCAGCAAAAATAATTTATTGTTCCCAGATTTAGAGGCATACAAAGTCTCAAGCTTATCCCASAAGGTTCTGGCATGTGAATCATTAGCAATATGATTCAAAACATTATCATCTACCCATTATCGAATAAAGCCACAAACCATCTCATGCTCAAAAGCCCATTCTTCATCAGATTTATTTTCAGGTTTTTKAGTAGMAAAAACTGGTAAATGTAACTTTTTCACAAATAGTAGATCCTTCATTTTTCCTCTCCACTTGTGGTAATTGGTGCCATTCAAACTAATCATTATATCATAATTAGGTTCCATCATTCAATCAAACAAATCCACAAACAAATAACCTTGCTCTGATACCAGTTGTTGGGAACACACCAAAAATATCCTGACAACAGATAATGATAAGATGACACAAAAAATAAGTAGGCAAGGGAACACACAATTTTTAACGTGGAAAACCCCCTCAATGTGAGGAGTAAAAACCACGGGACCTAGTCCAGTAAAATCTCCACTATAAAATATAATAAGTACAACAAAGTGTCTCCAAACAAAAGGATTCACCACAAGCCCCTACTCACAATCAACTAGTGGAAATCACCAAAAGCAGTCCAAATAACCCACAATAGGATACAAACAGCCCAACCAAAAGAGATGAATAAACAAAAATCTGACCATATAGATTAAATCCCACGATGTCAAGAACAATATATTGAAAAATCATAAAAAATGGAGCACAAATGATTACCCGTTTTGTTGAAGACAATGAGCAAAAATCTTCTCTCGTTGAAGATTGAAGACGCGGCTGGCGTCGTTGGCTACTGCCTGTGGCGGCCGGCGGTGACTGTTGCTGGAGCGATGAAATGGAGGCGGCAATCGATGGTGGAGATGGAGCGGTGGATGGCGTCGTTCTATGTTCTATTCATAGAAAAAGGAAAGGACGATGATAGTCCCCTTTCCAAATTTTCTTCCCCCCTTTTTTTTTGGTGAATACAACGGTTTCGTCGATAGAAAAAGATAACGAGAGTTTTCTTTTTTTTTTATATTAAAGGGTTGTGGGCCCCCATTTAAGGAGGACCCACAACAAATGTCAGAACTGTTGTCGCATTCAATTCAGAGGCAAACATAGTCTGCCTCTTCTCCTCCAGCCTCGATTTACCCCTGAGACACTGCTTTTGGAAGGAACAAATTGCTGGAAGTTGCGACGGAGTAGCACCGTTCTTACTCTATGCCTCGTATGCCCTTGGATTGTGGTATGCATCCTGGCCAGTGAAGCAGGGTATCTCTGATTTCTCAAAAAACAATCAAAGAGTGTTCATGGTCCTAATGGTGTCTGCCAATGGCGCGGCTGAGACGCTCACTCTCGCTCTTGACTTCATCAAGGGTGGTCGTGCCATGAGCTCAGTCTTCGACCTCCTAATTCTACACCTGCACCGGACAACCTAAAGGGGTAGTCGAATTCAAGCATGTCGATTTAGCGGATATGTAAGTCTTCTGAGACCTCAGCTTATGTGCCCAAGCGAACAAAACACTCGCCCTTGTTGGTCCAAGTGGGTGTGGCAGGAGCTCTGTTATTGCGCTTTTGCTGCAATCCTCGCAAGGCTAGGAAGTTGACGGAAGAAGAGAGATTGGGGGAGAGAGAGGGAGGACTTCAACGGAAGTCTGCCGTCGCTACTGTTCTTGTATGTGAGGTCAGGGAGGATGAACGGTGAAAGGTAGTATGGGAATTAAAAAATATTGCAATGGCAGATTTTAAAAGAATGCTAATAGAAGGGGGTCTTTGTCTCACGGTCATAGTGCAGGGTGGTCTTTGTCACAGACCCCATAATAAGGGGGGGTGTTTGTAATTTATCCTATTTTTAATTATTGATTTTTTGCATTTATTTTATGCACGGGCTTCTCAACTCGTTTCCATAAAAAATGCAAAATGAGAAGCAGCAATTTTATAACATCGCGGGCCTTTGTCCGTCACAAAACTTAAACACAGGTTACAGGGGTTAGCATTAGCAAATTGCAAATACAGGGGGCTTTATGGCCGGCCCATGGGCTCACCATTAAAATAAGCATCGGGTAACACAAGAGCTGGGCTCCCATGATGTCATCCTATCTTACACACGTGTTAGCACAGACTTGAATTCTTGTCGAAAAAATCAGCCTTTTCACTTCACACGTGCGGTCGATGTAATGGTCCTGTCCTCGGCTCGTCTATAAAAGGGAGATCCAGAGGATCTGAGAGAGGGCAGGAGAAAGAAAAGCGAAAAGAGGCGGGAAAAGGTTTTCCACAGCCGCTCCCCCTCATCTTCCCTCTTCCTCCTCCCTCCTGTCCTTGTTCAAATGGAAAGCCAAGGGATCTCCTCCGTCGATTGCCATTATCTTCCGGATGAAGAAGCCTTGCCCGTCGGATCACCGGATAATCTAGGGTTTCAAGGAGAAGATCTGCTGGATACAGCTGAAGCAGCTGATCCTTCCCCCCTTCCCGAGGCCGTCGTCCTCACCGATGATCTCCGAAACAAGATCATAAGACAGGTGACCCATGGTTTCCCTTCTTTTTTTTTCTACTACAGAAAATTTTGCTTCTTTATGTAGTTGTTTCTTGCTTTGATTTTTCTTCTTGCATTATTTTCTTCGTAAACGTTTGCTTATATTCGTGGATGCAAGAAACTATAATCTAGGAGCCATGTTGAGTCGTACGCAAAAGTAATGATTTTAAAAAATCTTTTTTTTTTTAAGATGAACTGATGAGGGAAAGTTCAAAGCCAAAGAAAGTTAAAAGGTTTAAAAAGGAAGAATTAGATAAATGTTAGAAAAAACTTAAATTTTCAATAGGAAAATAAACCCTTTTCCTAACTTTTCCTGGCGATTGGTTTTAAATTGAAAACAAGATTGACTTGTTTGAAAAATGTATGGGCGCTGTGACATTTGAATCTAGAGGACCAACCCTCTATTCAGAAAACGAATTAAAAGGAGGAATGACATTTTCTTACATTCACTCTTCACTGTTTTGGAAAGCGTTTGTTCTTCATAGCCAGTTTATGTGCAACCAAGACCGGGAAGCAGTAGTTTTCAGGAAATTGTTCTTTTCTTTTTCCTTCATTTTATGTTTAACTAGATGTAAAAAAATTGCAAAACTTATCCTATTTACGTGTTTTGTACTTTGGAGCTTCGTTTTTTCTTGGATACTTGTTCTGCTATCCCTTTCTTATGTGGTAGTAGAAACAAACCCTTCTTCATTTTTGAATACTGCATTTTCGAATTGAATATTCTTAAGAAGTCTGATTTCCATGTCTTACAAATTTACCAACATGCAACTGAAGGCGCCATATGTCACATGAATTGATCTTCTTTTGCTAAGTCTATCGTGTAGGACTAGAAAGAGAAAGTCCATTAAGTTGTACGTGGTTGGTAAAGAGGGGGGAATTAATAACATGGATTATAAAAGAAAGATTCATATTGGAGGATGGGTACAAGGATAAATAAAACAAATCAGAATAAGAAGAGGGAAGAAAGTAGAGCAAGACCATACCTTTAAAGAGAGAGAGAGAGAGAGAGAGATTAGAATTACTCGGAGGAGGACTCAACTATCATATATTGTTAGAACGTAACTTTTATTCATCAAATCAACTCTGATATAGGGATGTAATCTTCTTTTTACAGAAACCAATTTCAACTAGGAAACTTGCTGGTAAAAAAAATCAACTAGGAAACTGATAAAGATACAGCTTAAAAATTTTTTAAAGCTAAGTCAAAAACATGGGGACACTCTGTAAGGATTTAAACTCCTAAGTAACTCTATAAGCCTCTACAAATCCTAGTACAACTAAACAAGCAGGTAACAACTCTAAAGTTGACACTAAAAGAAAACAAAAAAAAAACTTAAATACCATCCTCCTATATGGGCACTCACTAAAATGGCCATTTCTTACTCTTTCCCCCAAAATATATTAGGTTTGCAAGATATTAGTCTTTCTAGATGTTTTTTTAATGAAAAAGGTAAAATATGATTGTATTACTTTGTCAAGATATGTAAAAACGTCCTTTGTTCAAAGAGTTTCTGTACATATTAACAATAAGCGGTGCAGGACTACCAAAACAGTCAACACTCAAAAAAGAAGAGCTACATTCTCCTCTAAACGCTCTACGAGTGGAAACCCAGGTTCTAAGACACTCAATAGAAGATTAATCTCAGTCTCCACAGGATATGAGTGGAAATCCAGCATTTTGCTTTTCTTGTTCATCTCATTGATATGGCATTCCAAGAATAAGGTATGGTCGTATGGACTGAAGCTGGGGGGCACCATTGATGCATGATGGCCTACAAGACATGATGCTAGATTCTACATGAGAACCTGCAATGAAGAAATAGGTGGCTGGATGTCTCAGTTTCCTGTTCACATGGGCTAGGTAGCCCAAAGGGCTGGCCTGGCCGGACCCGACAATATTACGTATAATAAAAATCATCATCATCACCATCTATGCCTTATCCCAACCATATGGGGTCTGGCTACATGAATCCTGTCTTGCCAAATTATTCTATTTAAATCTATATTCACAGTTGGTGCTATTCTATGTATGTGGCCAAACCATCTTAGTCCATTCTCTCACATTTTATCACTTATTGGAGGTACTCCTAGGTTCCCTAATCCTATCCTTTTTATTTTTTTCACTCATTCATCATAGCATTCGTATTTCTTCCATGTTCATTTTTTGGGCATGTTTCTTGGCTAGCCAACACTCCTCCATACAACATAGCTGGCCTCACAATTGTTTTGTAGAATTTTTCCTTTTAATCTATGTGGTGTTTGCCTATCACATAAAAGTCCAAATGCACCCCACCATTTTGCCCTTGCTCTAATTCTTTGGGTCACATCCTCCTCAATTTCTCCCTTACGAATTATTGAACCAAGGTACCAGAAATAGTCATGTTGAGTTATCTCTTGGTCTCCAATCCTAAGTGTATCTTGATTTACATTCCTATTATTACTAAATTTACATGTCATATATTCTATTTTAGTCCATATTTTAAAACCTCTTGTTTCTAAGGCATTTTCCCATAAGCTTGATTTTGCATTTAGTCCTTCACTAGTTTTATCAATTAAGACAATGTATCCGCAAACACCATGCACTATGGAACTTTTTCCTGGATATGTTTAGTTAATTCATCTAGGACCAATGCAATTAGATAAGGGCTAACTGCTGAGCCTTGGTGATGACCCATGCTAAGTAACTGTAAAATTTGAAGTTTCTCCCACTGGTGTTCTAACATTGCTTGTTGCCCCCTCATACATATCCTTAATTAAGTCTATATACCTATTTTGAACCCCTTTCTTTTCCAAGACCCACCATATTATTTCTTTATGATCTCTATCATATGCCTTTTCTGGATCAATTTACACCATATGTAGACCTTTCTTCTTCTTTTGGATAAGTTAAAATGTGTTTAACAAGATTTGAACCCATGACCTCTTATTTTCATATATGTCAATTGCCTCAAAAGAAATCTCTGAAACACTTGTTCAATTGCATACAATAAAAAATATATGAATAATATAGAATGAATATATATTGATATATAATATGTTGAGTTTATTAAATTACAGCATAAATAGGACTCTAAGACTCTTTATGTCCAAACTGGGCTTCAAGCTTGGGCTCAAGATCTAGGGCCTGGATATTTTCTGTTGATAAAGAGGCAAAGCCTGGCCTGGCCCAAAAAACATGTCTACCTCCTGCCCAGATTCTCCTTAGTCAATGGCTCAATGCATAATCAACATTATAGTCAGACTGACCTGTCTTCATGGTTACTGTTTCTGTATCAGCAAGATGTTATTCCATTATATAAGCATCTTTGTTGAAAGTTCCAAAGCAGTTATGATAGTTTTAATTTATAGGATTGATCTTGTGCAGGTTGAATATTACTTTAGTGACGGAAATCTACCTACAGATAAGTTCCTGATGAGCCATGTTAAGAAAGACAAGGAAGGGTTTGGTAAGTGCTGATCATCCTTCCTACTTTGGGTTCTTTGTTTGGTTGGATTCTTTATCTATTACCCTGAAGCTTTTGTATCTTTAACTAATCAGAACTCTTATTAATTTAAGAATCTCGTGGATGCAAGATGATGATACTGCAATAATTGGATGCACGATAATGGGTATGGCATTTTCTTTGCTGTAGTTGGGGGCTTGAATCTTTGTTTCTGCTGGGATGATAGGGGATTGTGGGTGTGATGTCTGGTTTTTGATTGTGGTCTTTGGAAATTAGTATGCTTCTGTTGTGTTTCCTCTATCAGGTAACTTCTGGTCACCTTTCTTGTTTATTTCTTTTTCTTTTAGTGCCCAAAAAATACTGCAATAAAACCCTTTCCAAAACATCAAATGAGAGCTAACCAAACATCTTGTACTCCCTCAAACATGCACACACACCAAGAGAATACAAACACTATTCCAGGGGCTATGGCCCCACTACAAGTCTTGCCTATTAACATTCTTCCTAACTAGTAAATCTTCCAGGCATTTTCTGGTCTATGGACCCAATTGAATCAGGAGTTTTTTTTTTGGATAAAAAACTTCCATGATCCTGGTTCCCTATTCCCATCCACTTAATGATGACTTGTGAAACTTGTACCACTTGGAGTAACCAGCTGCAGTCCATAGACTCCATACACTAGGAAGAAAAGTTCAGACCGAATGGAATTTCAATGCTTAATGAGATCTGAAAAGACTATTAAAATGTCTCCTTTGGTGATTGCTCAGATTTGTAAAACTGCAGCTGTCAGGATACCTGTTGTATTGTGTGTGATGAGGATGATGCAACATACGGTTATTCTCTGATAATAGTATATGGAGAAAGCACCTTCAATTCCTGCATAGGGGTCTTAGAATAGCTGCTCTTATATATCTTCACTGATTTTTTTCCTTCTTAGTTGTGAAAAGGGTCTACTTGCTATTCATAAAAAAAGGGCCTACTTGCTTGTGCAGTATGTATAATAAGGAAGGCTATCTTCTAAGTTCTAGCCCATTGTTGAAATGTTGTCTCAATCAGTGTTTTAAAAGGTGTGGGAGGCGTATGCCCGGAGACATGCCTCCAAGCTAGGTACCCCCAAAACATCCTGAGGTGTATGCTAGAGGCATTGACACCTCTGAAGCGTACACCTCATACTTTTTTCGTGAGGTGTTCTGGAGGCATATGCCTCCGCTTCCACAAGAACCCCCTTTCAACTAATACTATGCATCTTCATTCTTCTTAATATTAGAAGATTTTTATTAAAAATAAAGAACAATGAGATCGTCCTTCCTCTTCCTCCTTATCCTCCTCCTTAAGGAGGCTTACACCTCTTACGTTTTGAACTATGCCTCATGCCTCTAGGTAGTGGAATGTCTTGTCTCACATCTCTGCATTCTAAAACATTGCTCTCAATAGATTCTATATGTGTGAACAATTATTTAACCATCTTGGTCTTTGAACATTGATTTCTAAATAAAAAAACGAATCTGATCCAATTATATATGATTTTTCCAAACCCTGGAAGTTTTTGTAATGGCATATTGGCATTCTAGGAACTTGGTGTTTGGATTGTCTTAACCCAGTATCATATACAATTGTCTCTCCAAGTCTGTAGAGACTTAACTATATTTTTGATTCTAATCTTTAGGAACTTACATTTTATTGTTCAAATTTTTGCTAGCAATCTTTTCTTATTGTTTTGATTTTTTTATTAGTGCCTGCTTTCTGAAATTTCATTTTCACATCAGAATGTCTAATATGCATAAAGGCATTGCTTTTTTACCTCGAGTCATTATCATCGTAGATGACCATGAGGAGGCTGTGTGGCAGATCCTGTGTACGATGTTTGCCCAGCTTACTGCTGCAGGTAGCTCGTATGACAGGATATGATGTTTACCTTACTCATCTGAGTGTCATCTTCCCAAGTTATTATGCATATTGTAGCAGTATATTGATACTTGTAAGTTCTGGATATGGACTATGTTTTTGTTGTTGATCCAAGTCTGCCTAGGCAAGAATAGAAATGAAGAAGATGATGAGTTTAAGCAGGTACTTATGATGGGTTGCCCTTACTAGATGTTTCTCCTGGTGCAGCAAAATTTTGTTGTGCTGAGCTTCTAGGGATGGAACCTGGATGACTATGCAACCATCTGCTGACTGATTCTTTCTCTATTTATTTCATTTCTTTTCATAGTTATGAAATGTTTTCTGTTTGCCTTTTTTTATGCATTCCTATGCTGATTTATTTGTTTTTTGTCTATTACCTAGTTTCATATGAGAATTATTACTTATTGGTAGGGATGGCAATTTTCCATGTAGAAATGGGGCATCGCCTTGCCCCACCCCAAATTGGGACAGGGAAAAAATTTTTGCCCCAAATCAGGGATGGGGTGGGGATGGAGTTTGCGTATAATTCCCTGAATCTGTCCTAAATCCAATGGTAAATTAGTAAAATGCCCCTAGATTTAATTATAATTTCTAAAATACCCTTGAGTTCCCCCCAAGTTCTTAAAACCCTACAATCCCAGATTCCATTTCTAAAGTACCCCAAATTATCATAATCTAATCCCAAATTCCCATAATCCTATTTCTTAAATACCCCCAAATTAGATGTGTTTGTAGGTGGATGCCTGACGGGGAGTGGGTGCCTTACCTCGAACCTGCCCTGTTGCCATTCCTATTTATTAGTTTCCACTTTCTAGGTTTTAATGTTTATAGATAAGAAAATACTTTCAACACAATACTTTGTAGGTTTTAATCTCTTTTACATTCATATTTATTTTTAGTGAAAATCCATAAACCTCACTTCGGTTTCTAGAAAATGCTTATGAGTTAGTGGACGTTCTTGCAGTTCAATGTTAAATATCTCTTATATGTGTGTAGTGATCTTCCTCTCTCTCTCTCTCTCATTCACACACAGTACACACATGAAGAATGGAGTATGCCATGTTTCTTCATGGTAAATGTCCTATCCTTTTGGTGTAATCATCACATTATATCCTTTTTAGATGAACTAAGGAGGGTAACGAGTTCTGTCATTTCCATCTTCCAAGGTTCTTTTGTTTGCAAGTAGTTCATCCATGACAATGTTTTTGTAACCAATGAGCTTATTGATTCAAGGTCACATAAACTAGGATTTTCTAGATTACATGTTGAGCGGATTGCACTTTGGCCAGAAGTGGAGGAATTGAATGAAAGTTTGTGTTACTGCTCCTAGTTTTTCAATCCTTGTCAATGGGGCAGCCAAAGACAGGTTCAAAAGTTAGAGGGGGCATAGACAAGGTGACCCACTGTCATTACTTTTTTTGATAGCCATGGAGGGGGATTGAGTAAAATGGCATCTATCAAAAAAAAAAAAAAGAGGGCTTGAGTAAAATGTTAGAGCAAGTCTTGGAGCTAGGACTGATTGAAGGTTTTGAGGTTTGTCCTGGTGGTTCAAAGATCACTTAGCTGCAGTTTGCTGATGACACTCTTTTTTTGTGAGGCTTCTTCAGATCAGGTTCTTAATCTTTGGTTCTTCCTTTGCTGGTTTGAAGTGGTTTCATGTTTGAAAGTCAATTTCTCTAAAAGTGAGATGCTACCAGTTGGGAATTCAAGCAGTATCTGGATTCTTGGAGACTCCAAAAGGGGAAAGCTGGTTTTAGTAAAGAGTGTTCTGGCCAGTCTTTCTAATTATTTCATGTCTCTTTAATTCCATCTGAGGTGGCATCGAAAATAGGAAAAAAGATGAGGGATTTTCTGTGGCTAGGGTGTAAGGATTCCTCTAAATACCATTTGGTGAACCGGGATTATCCGTAAACCTATCTCTCAAGGAGGGCTGAGGATTAGAAAGGTGAAAAATAAACCCAAGGAATTATGGAGAGTTTTAATTGCTGAAAAATATGCCATCAGTGATAATGGGTGGGACATAGATGGTTTGCTTCTGCCTTATGGGTGTAGCCTCTGGAAAGGCATCTACAGAGCTTACCTTCACTTCACCAAGGGCATATCTTATAAAGTTGTGAATGGTAGAAGACTGAGGTATTGTTTGGACCCCTGGTGCGGTGATACTGCTCTAAAAGCAAGGTTTCCTTCTTTGTTTGCTGTAGCTGAGGATATTCAGATTTCTGTTGCTGATTGCCTTGCACAGGAGGGTAATATAGTTTAGTCTGGTTCCCTGTTTTCAGAAGGAATTTTAATGACTGGGAGCTGGACCAGGTGGTAGAACTCCTTTCTTTGCTTCAGAATCAGCACCCAGACCTGCAATCTGAGGATTCTAGATGCTGGAAACGGGCAAATTCGGGTAGCTTTTCACTCAAATCTTTCTATCTGGGGCTACCTGGAGATGTCCCCTAGCCTTTCCCATTCTCAAGGCCATTTGGTAAGTTGTAGCTCCCCTGAAAGTCAAGTTCTTGTGGGTGGTTGCAAAGGGGAAGTGCCTCACCAAGGAGATGTTAGTGAGGAAAGGTTTCACCTTGCCAAACTTGCTTTGTCCTTTGTGCAATTTGCATTCTGAGTCTTCAAATCACCTGTTCATTCACTGTAATTTCACACTAGTGTTGTGGCAGCATTTTCTCAGAGCAGTTAATCTGAGCTGGTGCTGGCTGGAGTCAGTCTCTTCCTTGTTATCTGGGTGGAGAGTCCCATGCATGTCCAAAGAAGGAAAGCAAGTGTGTTCTGTTATTCCCTCTGCAGTTTTGTGGGTGATCTGGTTGGAAAGGAACAGTAGGGTCTTTGAGCAAAAAGCTAAGACTCAGGCTGGGGTAATTAATTTCATAGTGGGAGCTTCGTAGCTGGTTATCCTTGTCTGATGTTTTTAGAGATGCTTCTTGTTCTGATTCTTTTTTTGATGGTGGATTTCTTTGAGGGGTTGTAATTCTGATTTTTTTTGTACAGAACCTTATACTGTTGATATTAATAGAATACTTTACCTCTTAAAAAATGAAACACACCGGTTCTTCAGTTCTTGAGAATTTTGAAGATTGGTTGAAACAGAGGAGGGGCAATTCTATGTGTATCCACTTGTAATCTGCAATGGTTTACCGTATGTTTTGTGCTTGTGCTGTTGCCAATTCTCATAGCATGCTCCCCGTTCCCCTTGGAGTTTGCATCTGCATGTATGTAGGCACTGCTGTCTATTTAGTCATAATTATTTGTTATTACAGGTGAAGAGTTTCACCAGGTTGATTAGTTGGAGTTGATGTACATCATAGATGGCATGCTCACTTTAATAAGAATTTTGGTTGAGTTTGATTGATGGTGCAAAATTTCACTTGTATGTCCTAGTTTGTATAATTATGCAATGCAGCATTTACAGATCAGGTTTACTTTTCATTCTTCATCCATTTTATGAGAACCTGCCAAAAATCTTAGCAGGCTTCTTAGAAATTCTACACAACTATATTGGGTTTTGTCCTCATAAAATAAGCTGCTTAACTGCCCAAATATCCTAATGATTCAGTTGCAATTAAATTTGGCTATCCAATGTATTATTTAATTGTTAGCATCTGTATTTCTATTAGACAATTGTCTTGTCAGCTGCATCTTCCATTTCACCATTACAGATCATGTTTCTTCATGTTTCGAGTCATGGGATATAAGTGCCCGAGTTGTTCTGTGTTCTGTTAGAAGTTTTCTAGATAATCTTTGTTTTAGTGATCCTACAATTGCATGGTATTTTGCCTCTTGCAGTTCCTATTGCTGTTATTGCATCTTTTAGGAAAATGAAAAAGCTGGTTCGTGACAATTCTTTGATAGTGGCTGCACTCAAGGAATCGACTCAGCTTGTAATTTTTCCCTTCCTCTCCTCTCTCTATTTCTCTGATTGGTAACTGTTCATTTATTAGTTGAGATGAGAAGATTAGTGTACATCTTAGTGCCAAGCACTCCAAGAGCATTCTTAGGTTTCATCAGACACCCTACCCATAAGCAATCTTCCTACATGTTGAATGCTAGATAATATTTTTTAAGCGGCGGTTTGGATTTTGCAACAGCTTTTGAGTTACCTTTCACAAATCACAACTTGCTGACCTGCTGTGCTGTGCCCAAAAAAGAAAGAAAAAAAGAAGAATTACGACCTCTATGGAGGTTCAGGCATATACACTCAATACCCAAAAAAAACCTGACTTGTTTCTTTCTTTTGGGAGAATCTTATAAAGTGTCTGGTTCTGTTCCTCACACCAATCTCACAGCATGTTTCAGCTGAACATCGGGAACATCTCCCATACTTGTATGTTACCAGTGATTTAAAAGGCGTGCCTAGGCACACAGGTGAGGTGCATTTTTAGGGGCTTGTTTGGGCTTCCTCAAGGGGCGTGGCACAAAGGCAGCTCGTAGAATCAGGAATGTAACATGTTTTACATCACATTAGCTACTTGACGTAATGTGATTGAGGGAAAAAGTGATTGTGGGTTTTACATGCTTGAAAATGTTTCATATGTTTGATTTTGTTTTTAAATTCTCATTTCAATATGCTTTACATGTTATGTTTATTCTAATTTTACATAATAGGTTTTTTACTTTTTAAAACATTTATTTTAAAATTTAAGTTTATATGTCTTATTAATATTATGTTTATATTTTATATTTTTTGCATCTTTTTTTGAATTATTTGTTTTTTTTGAATTTTCTGACATTTTTTTATTTTTGTGCGTTGCTTCAAAAAGGCATGTGCCTCGGGCACAAATTGACCTCTGCGCCTTTTTTGTGCCTTTCACTTTTAAAACACTGGTTATTATTTTTGGGATATGTTCCCAAATCCCAAATACAAGGTGGGATGTGGTTGTGAGGAGCAAATCCCAGTTTTCTTATAAAACCTTGTATTTTATTTTATTTTTTTTGTGTTTCCTATGTATTTCTCTTTCACGTGCATAAACACACAAATTTCTTGTACCTTCAAATGCAGGTTGTGAGTTCAGATGGAAAGAAGGTGAAGCGGATTCATCCACTGCCAGTAACTGAGGTCAAGGATGCTGAGGTATTTATTTCAGTCAACCTGAATTTTTAGAAACTTGCTTATTGGATAGTTTGTTTCTAGCATCTAATTTGTGAACTCTAGCAATGCACTGTTTTGGTAGAGAATTTGCCAAAGAGTTACACTACTGAGAACATTCAGAGGATATTTGGCGGTGCTGGAAAGTATGCATTTATCATGATGTCAAATCTTTAATTTATGCTTTATGGTTAAAACATTTTGACATTTTACCATGCTTTATGAGTTTTCAGTATAAAGAATATTTATATCCGTGATCCACATGCCATGGAAGGGCCCAAAAAAGTCAGCATGGCTGAGAAGTTGATAAGTGGTAAGGTAAGGATATAGATTTGGTACATGCCTGAGCGTTTTTTCTTGAAAAATTTCTTGCTTGCATTTCCTTTTTATCTGATCAAGCTTTCTATATTTTTATTTAGTGAACCATAGGTTGTATAAAATTATGTGTCACAAGTTTAAAAAGATAGTTTGACCAGATCATAAATAGAGAGTTTTATATACATAATTAGCGGGGGACCCGTTTCATGCATATTTTGGGTTTTTGTTTTTAAATAATTAATAATTATTTATATTTTGGGTTCAATTATGACATGAGAAAGATATGATATCTGAAAAATTTTTGACCAATCAACTGGTATCATAAAACATGGTAGCCAATCAGGTGTCAGTTATCAAAGTTAATGGGTGGATTTTGATTCGTAACTCATCCGGTGTCATATCTTTTCTTCATAGTAGATTTTCCATTATATTTTATATACTACTTTTAATAATTTTTTACAATAAAAAATAATAATAATTAATTTCAGCTAGGGTTGTTCACCAAACTGATGAAACCAACAAGTTGATCGGTTTTCTAGTATTTCCAGTCTGCTTTGATTCAACAATTTCCCAACATGACTAGGTTGGATTAGTTTTGCTTTGGCCATTTGTAAATCGACCAAAATCGAATGACCCGACCATAGATATATTAACATTTTATATTTTTAATTTAATTTTTTTTAATATGGGAAAGTGGGAAAATTATTAATTGAAATAAGTGAATTTAATTATTTACAATATTATTTAGTTATTTAAATAATATCATTATTTAAACTTTAAAATTTAATTATTTATTGAATTTAATTATCCATAAAGTTATAATTTATACTATTATTACATAATTTCGTTATTAATTTTGTAAAATATTAAATTACTATTAATTTGAATATTATGTTATAATTATTTTTCTAGTTTTAAGAAATTTTCTAAACTTATTACATAATTTAATTATTTTAGCTACTTAAAATCTATTTATGTTAAATATTTTGTTAGCTATTATATTTAGTTATTTAAATAATATATAAAATATTTAAAATTTTTTGTTATTTGAATTTTATTTATTTGAAAGTTATTACATAATATTAGATATTATGTTATATAATTATTTATCTATTTTTAATATATATTTTCTTATTTAAGATATTTAGTTATTGAAAGATTTAAATAATATTTTATTTTTTATTATTAAATTTTTATTATTTGAATAAAATTTAAATTGAATAATCCTGAAAACCGTAATTTATATTTATATTGTTAGTACATAATTTGTGATGAATTTTGTAAAATATAGAATTATTAATAATATGAATATTATTAAAACTATTGTTATTTTTTTGTATTTTTTATGAATATTTTGAAATTATTATATAATGTAGTTAGAATATTTAAATAATTCTTAATTTTTTTAATTCAGACTTTCTTTAGATAGGTATAGATTAAAAGTGGGGGAGAGGATAAATAGGAATTAGAGATAATTTAAGAGAAAGTGGGGGATAGTAGGAGAGAGAACTTTTGGGTAATTTATGTGGAAGAAGAGCATCTCATTGGGTGTTCAAAAATGACATGGAATAAAAAAATAAAAGATTCAAAAAAAGTAGAGTTTCTAGACTACAGTGTTTTAGTGTGTGTGTGTATGTGTGTAGAGAGTGAGAGAGAGGAGGGGAGGGCTATTGTTCTTTTATTGGGGCGAATACTGAAACTACCATTTTTATGGTGCAGGGCCATGTTTGAAGAGTAAAAGCAATTTTGATAACTTTTCACATGGGTATTGGTGCCTGATATGTTGGATATCCTGTTTTTAATTTCACTTTTTTTAATTTTATAGGTGTTTGAGGGTCCACAGACTTTTTGAGCTTTGAAATTTTTAAAAAGCTTTTATATTGGTGTATCCAAGCATATCTGTATGCACCGATATGGATATGATATGCCTCATACGATACAGGGTGTATCGTATCAATATTTTAACCCTTGGGTGTAGTCAAGGCTTCTAGCTAATACCTGTATTATTTTTTTATGGTATACTGTATACATAGGTGTTTTAACCTAGGCAAATCATTTCATTGGTATCGAAAATTACATATGTTTATTGAGAATTAAATAGTGAGCTACTAAAATGTTACACAAACTTCAAACTTTGTAAAAGCTTTTTCACTTGTTATGGAAATGGATTCTCTAGTTTTTTAACTTTTTAATTGGTGCAATCATTCTTAATTGAGATGATAAGTAAGGGGATTTATGTTGATGACATAATCCCTAGGAATAGAAGAACCATCTAAACAATGTCTGTGATGTTAAAATAGAAGTAACTGAATGGTTGTAGCGCTTGCTCCATTTCTGCTATATGTTCTTCTACATTTGTTGTTTTATCTTCTTTTTGATAGTAAAATAAAAATTTATCAAGAGATAGAAGATGTTGCAAGAAATGTGACAAGAAGTCGCCCAAGAGAATAAATAAACAACCCTTTACACATAAACCAAAAGAACCTCTCCAATGAACATAATCACCAAACCAGAAGAAAGATTGAATACATCTGACTAGACCTAGACAAGACAAACAGCACCTCAAAACCCAAAGCCTAAAACTTCAACACTAAACTCATTCACTTAATCAAACTAACGTAAACCTCACCAACCTCCCAAGCAATTGATAAAGGCTCACAATAGATGAACATTGGACTCCAAATTAACACCACACAAAACTTGGCTCAATTGCTCATCTTCTTCCATGGCTTGAATAAGAATCTCTTTACTTTTTTTTAATAACTTTATTTGTTTTCTTCACCTTTTTGTTAGGCCCAACCCCAAATAAACCCCCTTTCAACCTGGCAAAAACTTTTGAAACCCGAATAACAGGATTTTTTTTAACTTATGAAGCGTCTTATTGTGTTAGGAATCTTTTGTAAACCCTTCAGGTCCGTAGAACCAACGCCGATCTTCTCTAATTCCAAGACCACATTCTTCTCATATTTCGTATTTTCAACCACCTCATCACCCTTTTTGTCAACATTCTCAACGACTCCAGATGATTGCAGTCTATCTTGAACCATCTCTACCCCTGAATTAAAACCACCTGCATCATGATCCAATATTATTTTTCTCATGCCTCTTCTCCAACTCTTTAAACACCTCCATTGCGAACTTTGTGTGCCCAAAAGAAATTGTCCCAATGTTTTACTTATCTCCACTTTTGTATTCACAACTTCCTCATTATCAATCTGGCTTTCAATTGAGTGTGTTTTATCAATAACCACTTATTCCGAATGATCACCCTCTCCTTAGAATCTACCTCGTCTTATCCATCACCATTTAGGTTTATTTCTGTATTTTTTTCCACTTGTAAACTTTTACATATCTCCGTTGCTAAACTCATCCTTCTTGACCACATGTTCCCCCACAACTTCAATCTTCTGTCCTCAAGATTCCAACATTACTATTTTCCCCAATTTTCAATTGAGTGTGTTTTGCCAATAACCACTTCTTCTGAATAATCACCTCCTCCTTAGAATCTACCTTGTCTTATCCATCACCATTTAAAGGTTTATTTCTGTATTTTTTTTCCACTTGTAAACTTTTACATTTGCAACATCTCTGTTGCTAAACTCATCCTTCGTGACCACCTCTCCCCCCACAATTTCTTCAACCTTCCTTGTTTCTTCTGTCCTCAAGACTCCAACATTGCTATTTTCCCCAATTTTTTCCATTGTAGTCACATCTGCCCCTTGTTGGACCATCCCTTCTCATAATCTCATTGCCACCCTTACTCCCCTTTCTCTCCCCAAAACTTCTTGAATCCCACTATCAAAGCTCCCTGAGATCCATCCCCTAACCTCATCACCTTCTCTCCTCCCCTCAAATGGATCTTCTTGAATCCCACAACCTTATAAATTCTTCTCGAACAATACCCTGCCATTTGATTTTTAAAGTAGATTTATGCATGTCCTTGAGCATATATCCAATTGAAAGAAGTTTGTAATACCTAGTATGGATTGAATTTCTGATTTCTTGCATCTTGCTGTGCAAATTAATTTGTCTTTTCATTATTTTTTATAGATATATGCTCTTGTGGAGTATGAGACAGTGGAGGCAGCTGAGAAAGCTGTGAGTGCCAATCTCTTCCCTCATTTGCTTGTGCTTTTATCTTGTAATATGTATTATCTAGATGTTTTACTCTAATAGCAGACAACCTTGTGCTTTTGGTTATTTGTCAGGTGGCAACCCTAAATGATGAGAATAATTGGAGAAGTGGAATGCGGGTTAAACTTCTCAAGCGAATGGTAAAACTAACAAGAGCAGCTTTTCTTCTTTCTTCATGACAATTTGAGGTTTCAGCCCTACTCAACAATTTTTTTATTCAGGGTAAGTTTGGGCTGTCAAAGAAAAATGTTAAAGCAGCTGTCTCTGAGAAGAATAACAATGTACCAGCATCTGAAGCTGCTGGTGATGAGAACCCTAAAACTGGTCACCTTGAGGAGACACATGAACCAGAGGTAAACTTCCTCTGATTTTTACCAGTTACAGGTTATTTGCTCTCAAAGTTCGATTTCATTGTCTCTTTGTTTATCTCCTCTTGATTGGCTGTTGGTTTTAAGTGGTGACCAATCCATGCAATAATTTTAGGGAGAATGACGGTTCAGCCCAGGGTCAATTTTTAGGCCCAAAGTACAATTGGGGTGGGTGCCAGTTAGGAATTGATGCCAATTCACGGGCGGGCATTGGTGTGTAGAGTGGGGGTTTTTGACATTTTGAATGCTTATACCTCTGCAGTGGAAATCAGAAATCTGCATTGGGCCTGTCCTCCAATAATTTTATCATAAGAAATTACGTTGTGAAATCAGTATCTCTAGAAAGTGGATAATTTTATTTTGTAATTTTTACTTTAATTTGTTAATGATATATAGTATCTTAATTCAATCTAATCTGACACTCCAAAATGGAAAATAAGTAAAAATAAGGAACACTATTCTTTAACTAATCTGGAAGAATAACATGATCTGAATGGTGAACTTGTGTGCACATTTTTTTTTCTGCTGAATTGTTTTTAATAGCAGTATGCGGGGGGGCACTCACCAACTGAGAAGACTGGACGAAGAGGTCGAAACCGCGGCCGATTTAGAGGTCACAAACATCATAGCACTAATGGATTGGGTACTTAAAATTCTTCTTTTTTTTTGGCTTTGGCATGTTTAGCTTTTTGATGTTGGGATTAGTTGCATATCATGATAAAAAGGGTCTTGTTCAAAGTCATATTCTGAACACCTAGATCCGTTTTTCCAGGGCATGGAACCTTGCACTCTGGTGCTGGTATTAAATGTTCGAATCCACCTCGTGTTCCAAGAATGCCTGATGGAACAAGGGGTTTCACAATGGGACGAGGTCGGCCACCTGTCTCCACTCAAAATTAACACATGATTTGGCGATGTTCCCTTCCGGAAACTTTAGATCACTCCAATGGTATTCTACTTCTAGGTTGGAGTGATGTGTGAAAGCTGTGTAGGGGTTGCAATCAATAACCTCACAAATTTAACTTGGTTTTTGTACAAATGGGGCTCCATGCAAATGCAATCATCCTACAGACTACAGTTACACAATTGAATTTTCTTCCTGTTCTATAAGCCCCAAATGAGTTTGGTTTAACGATACACAATTGATAGTAGTGTGAACCAAGGTTCAAAATATTGATATGCCCGATACGCCAGTAGGGGTGTATCGGGCATTTCGATACTCATTTATTTTCCGTTTTTTATATTTTTTTTCAAAACTGGTTCAGGGGAGCTGGTCTAGGACCCCTATATCCCCTGAACCGGTCAGACCCCCGATACACCCACTGTAGGGTTATATCGGAAGGGTCCCTGAATGATACATATCTGTCAAAACGGAAGGATACTTTGAAGTTTGAACCTTGGTGTGAACTGTCAAGTAGTTTTTTTCCCGATTTCAAAAAGCTCTTGCAGGCTTCAGCATTATACTAGTAGTACTAGAGAAGTATGAGAATGAGAGGTCCTTGGTAGGGCATGGTACAACCGTACAAGATGGAATTGTAAGGTCTCCTTAAGTAATGCTATGTATTTTCCTCGGCAAAAAGATGGTGTATTCAAGAATCAAGCCCTTTTGATTTGTTTCATTGGCAAGTCGTGTGGGTGCCCCGGTGCTAATTAGTATCATTAGCAATTGTGCAGACATCAACCAGTGTGACGGATTCTGGTACGAGTGAAACTTAAATGACACATGTTCTGTCCGCATACTGTTGTGCATTATATCGGCATGAGTGAAATGAAGACGAGGGCCTATTGATCGATTATTTATTTGTAAAAAAATGGCCCATCAAATGGTGTTTGGTCGTGTTAATGAAGATCGGCTCTACCCAATCTAGGTTGATTGGTTTTTTAAAACCACCTTATATGTTTTAAGTAATTACTAAGCAGTCTCTGCTTAGCAAGTATTGATGTATTTAGCAAGTACATATTGGATTGTTGGAGTCTTCACTCTTTAATTTTGGAAAGAAAAAAAATGAGAGGTTTAACTTTGGAAATTGGGTCGACGCAAACTAACCCTTCATGTTTGGGTTGGTTTTGCTTTAAGGGCAGTTGGTTTCGGTTTAGTTGATAAATAAATCGACTAGGTTGTGTTAGTTGAAGAAAATGACTCAAATTGACCGAACCCCACCCGTGAACACCCTTAAATGGAGATACCATCTATTGTATTGGGATGGGACAAACATTGTGTAGTTTGCCATTAGGTGCCAAAAGGCCCAAAACCATTCCTTCTCTTGTTTCCGCTTGTGTTGTGTAATGCATTTTGTTGGTACTTTTTCCTAATCTATGCAACTCATCAAAATTGTTTGTTGTATTTGGATGTAGTTATTCATATGACAAATGGTTCCTTTTTTATTACTAGTAGGTGTGCATGTGACAATTTCTAGATGATGATAATGATAGGAATAATGTATCCAAAATTTTTAATAAAATTCATGTATTTTTTATTTTTCACTATTAATCGGATGTAAATTGCAAAATCTGAATTTGATTACACAAGCACCTAATATTGGGTTATAAAGTTTTGAGTATCATTGGCATGTCTACCTATTTGGTTGGGCTATTTTTTTGTAATGTTTTATTTTTTTAGTATATACTTTTTTGTTTATTTATAAAAAAAGTAAGATTTAAAGACAAGGAATTGAATGAGGTGAAAATTGTAGTTTAAACTACATTTTAAACTTCACAATTAAATAGGGATTAAATTCAAAAAAATTGTATTTTAGTTAAAAGAAAGTTACACAATTTTATTCATATGGAGTTATAGACATGTTCAATTTGTATTGTGTGTAAAAATAATACTATTATTTACACTTATTTTTTGTTTAATATGTTAAAAATGTGATATTATACATGTGCCCAAATGTTTTTTTGTAAAATTTATATATATTTTATTTTTGTGTTTTTTGTATTTTGTTAATTTTTATTGTTTAACTATGACATTAAAGGTTGATAGATTTGACCCCATTAAATAGGAAAATAATTTTATTTTTGGTTAGTTTTAGATTATGTATTTTATTTTCATCATCAATAAAAATATTTCTTGTTTATTACATGTCTTTTTATTTGATTAATAAAAATTATCATAAATGTGTATTTTTTCTAGATTTTTATATTTATTTCTATTTTAAAATTTTATCATAACTATGACTTCATGGGTTGGTCAATTTGGTTTGGTTACTTAATTGCTTAGTCATCATTTGGATAAAGAATGATTTTATTTTTGAGTATTAGACATAGATCTAATTAGTAGTATTTATTAGTGAAAAATTAACTTAAATACGAGATTTAATAAGAGAGAATGTGAGTCAATCCCTTAAATACAAGAGTTAATGAGAGGGGATTAAATGAGGTGAAAAGCATTAATCGAAATTACATTTTTAACCTTTATAATTAGAGATGAACTAAATAACAAATGTGGACATTTTAGTAAAAAAAAATTCCATACCCTCATTCATACTTTTTATGATAGTATAGATTTGACGGTCCAAACTAATACCATTTTATGATGAATGGGGAAAATACAAGCAAGATGACATAATTAGATCAAGGTTGAAAACATGATAATGCATTGACGCATATTGTACAACTAGTAACTAAACTCATGTAATGCATGGACTTAATAGAAATTAGGTTTTTGGCATCAATTTGGGTTTTTTGGTAGAAGTGGGTTTGGTTGGCAAATTTTAGTTTTTGGAGTCAATTTTGGTTTAGATTTAGATTTAGGTGGAAATTGGTTGTGGTTGGAAAATTTAGGTTTTCATCATCAATTTTGGTTTAGGCTAAGGTCCATATTTAGAATTAGGCACAATTTAGGTTTTGGTTCGTAAATTTAGGTTTAGGATAAGGTCCATATTTGTAGGGATGCAAATGGATCGGATCGGATTTGAATATGATTCAATGAAATGTAGGTCTGATCCGAAGATCCAATCGGATCCATGGTTCAAAGTATCGATACGATATGAGTTTTGGTCGTATTATATCGGTACTTAGAAACAGACGAAACTCTACCTTTTTTTTTAGTTTTTTTTTTCCAAATTTTGGTTTTTAGGGAAGCTTTTAGCATGCTTTTTATTATTAAAAAAACTGGGGGTTCGAAACACCTGGAAATAGGTGTTTTGGATCGTATCTTTTTCAAAAGATACAATACGATATGATACGCCCCATATCGGGCATATCATATCGATACTTTGAACCAGAAAATATAATAATTTAAATCAAGAAAAACAAGAAATGAAAGTATATTTTCAACTATTTTGATTAGTGTTTTCGAACCATCATTGACCCAAATAGTCTGACCGTTTAGCCCGAAAATTGTTTAGGCAACCAGTTCTATTTCACCCTTAACCCCAAAGAGTCGTTGCCATGTAGTCGAACCGTTGACCTAGACAAAGGTTCATGGTTTAACAAGGAGGCAGAGGAGATTCAAATACGATGGCTTGAGACAAGAATGATCTTAGATTTGAGATTGTCCTAGAGAGAGAGATTGAGATCACAGAGAAGTCATATCTATTATGAGATCAGAGAGAGATTCGATGCTTGGATGTTGCATTGTTGTTGTCATTGCTGCTGTTGTCGCCGGTGAATGCCGGATGATCCTCCTCCTCCTTCCCTCATGTGTGTGTGTTTTAAGAATGGTCTTTATTGAAGAGAGTAATGGTTGACTTTATTAGAGACATGAGACTCAAGAGGGTTTTATTTTATTTTTTATATTTTTAATCATTTAATTTAAAATAAATAACCACATGTGTGATAAATGAAAGGAGGAGGTTCAGGTGAGTTGTTGTTCAAAAATGTATTTTTTAAGGGGAAAAAAATGAAGTAATAGTGATTCACCAAAATTTTTATTTATTTCTAGTTCTTTACATATAAAATATTAGAAAACATAATTTTCTTTTCTTTTTTAGTTATTGAGCTTCAAATTTATTCCTTTTTGTATAGTTTATATATTATGAGAAGTACATAAACCACCTAATGGTGGCTCATTTTGTAGGTTCATTCACTTTGTTGCATAGTTGTAGTAAAATCCCGAGCAGGATTGGGGGGATGCACTACTCCCTATTCTATAGCTCTAGAAAGCAAAAAAAAAAGTGCTTAACATGAGATCAATAACAAAGTTAGAAACAATTTCAAAAATGAACTGACGAAGATAACCAAAGGTTCATGTTAAGTTCTTTCTTACTACATTTTATTATTAAGCCAAAACAATCCATGAAACAAAACTACATTAAATTAATAAGAGAGAGAGAGAGAGAGACCTGGTAATCTATGAAAATGTGCAATGGTTTCTTAATTTTTTTTTTAGAAGAAGAAGATTGGTTCACCCATGCACTAGGGGGGCAATTTGGATTTTGACATTACTTTAGGTTCAAGCTAGGGTTCATATTTAAAGTTGGCCCTTAACCTAACCCAATCCATCTAATTTACACCCCTACTTTATTAGAGAGAGCAAGAGAGAGATTTAATGGGGAGGGAAGACGTGACAAACATTGACTATTAGAGAGAGAGAGAGATAGCAAGTATGGATTTTATGAGAGAAAATTAAGATCCATGTGGGTTTTAATTTTGACTTGTTTTGTTTTTAATGATTTAATTTAGAAAAATAAATATGCACGTGTGTAAGAAAGGAGAAGAGGTGGAGATACATGTGAGCTCTGTGGTGAGAAGACCCCTTACATCCCCCGTTTCCTATATGAGGAGAGAGAGAGAGAGGGTGCTAGCCACAAGGGAGAAGCATATCAATTGGTAATTCTATTAACCAAACTGTAAATGGTATAACAAATGTGTAAAGCTATATATCTATAGGCAATCAAATCATATAGTTATAATTGTTCTTAATGTTTCCATCTATTGTCATACCCAAGACATTAAGATCAGCAATGCTTGTGAGCCATGGCCAATATAACATGTAGGATGTCTAATGCCAATAAGAACAATGAAGAGAAATGGAACTAATAGTTAGGGTGTTTCATTCAACATTGTTAGGGAGGCAAAGAGAATGAACTTATGCAAATAAGAGAAGGAAGAAAAGAAAGGAAGTTGATTATGCCTGTTGGAATAGGTTAGAATCCATCAGATGGATGGTTGAACTATGCTAGATGGCTGGG